AGCGGAGTCGATAGCATTACCGAAATGGAGCAGAGCCTGGTCAAGCATGTCGCAGCAGCTGACAGCAGTATCCACGGCACACGTCAACGAAAAGCATTTCTCAACCGCTTGGTCAAGAACGCTATCGGTGACGCCTAGCGCTTTACGCTGTCGCTTAGATTTCTTGACAGGTTCAGACTTAGGATGCGATATGGTCATACCTAGCTGCAGCTCCTTCTTTATCAACGGCATTAGATCCGCAAAACGATCCTGCAGTTTGGAACACGCACCAAGAACGCTACAGACGGTCGACAGTACGTCGTACACGTAACGACGCAGCAAGAAGATGTACGCTCCATCGGATGGGGCATCAGCATTTAGCAGTGAGAAGAGCAGATCGACCATCGGACGGCATAAGGGCACGAACTCGATTTTCAACAAACGGACGGTTCGAGAGAGCAACACAAAGCACGGTTCTAGAAAAGTGACAATTAAATCGGAACACACAGAGCTCCGCAACCAGAACAGTTCGCAGAGGCAAGCGAACAGGTGAATAATGCTGTTCGACGGAACGTCCACCACGCTCATAAACTCCAGAGAAAGCATATGCACCGCTGACCAAAGTAAACTCTCTATGATCCGGCAGAGATCCGTGAAATCGACCGAAGACGCGTCTATCGGAAAGCGCTCCACATTTTCTGGCAAATTCAACATACAGCTGTTCGTGTGGTCGTTGACTGTCAGCGTCACTGCCACGTCATGGATAGTGGCGACGGTGCGCATCATCTGCGAGAACCACGCCAGGCAGGGGCCCGCATCTTTTTTAGAATATTTGCATCGCGGTAATAATGCGAACGTGAGAGCCGCCGTTTTCCTCACCTCGGAAAATGTCGAGGTGAACTTCGAAAAAACGAAACTCCTCATCTGTTCGTGCCAAGAGGAGCATGCTCGTGGATAGTTCAGAAGAAACGCCTGCAGCACGTACAGAAAGCCGTCGGTGCGTGCACCATGCGACGACACGATGTTCGACACGACGATGCTCACCTTGTTGCCGATCGACATCCTCACGAAAGGAAATTCGACAGACACACGCAAAAAGTTGGCGAACACCAACGCCCGCAATTCACTCAGCTGCCGACTTCCGCTCTTCAAGTACTTCTCCATTCGACTAAGTTCGTCAAACCACACGCCCCAACGGTCCAGAAAGTTGGCGCCTGCGCAGAATTGCAAGCGGTTGTAGATAGTCTTCAGTTCATCTGCTTCTTTTACCAGTGAATCCATGGTTTATTAATTTTCTGAAACTACAAAAGTCAATCTCAAAGAGTAAAACAGGATACAACAATAGCTTACGGTAAGCTTCCGTTAACCACAAAGATCTTGATACTCTTCGATGGCGTCACCAAGCGTTCAGCGTTCACTGCACAAGAACTACCGCACACCACATCATAACAGCACCGGATACAAACAGTTCGCCTAAAAAACAAGGTAAGGCACAGGCGTAAATTTCACCCGCCTGTCAGTGCATATGGGCGACTTCAATATTACAGTAATATAATTCATGGCATTACTTTCAGCTCTTAAAATGAACCTGCATGTTCTATCTTCCTGGATTATGCACAGAAGTGGAAAGGCACAATAAGAGAAAGCTAAACGTTTTATTCCAAACCATATGTATAATTTTCAAGGCCAAATTTCCTTATGTATATCATTAGCCCATAGTTTCTAGACAAGAGGCACTCTATTAGGTAAGGGATCGATGGCTTTTAGCACCTGGTGTGCATAAATACGCCTTGTATCAGTTTATTGACCAATGTAAAATCTTCACTGTCACCGATATTTCAGGAACGAACAAGAGGCATCCGAGGAATGCTGGCTAACTGAAATATCACGGCAGCAAGCAAGGCATTATTTACGAAATAAAATGATGCGAAATGCATCTTCTTACTGCCACTGCTCAAACTCACGGAACCAGATTGCAACAAGACAACAAGAAGCAATTGAGCGCCATTATACCCTTAAAACCTGATTTAGAAGAGTTACGCGCCCATTAAACGAACTCCGACGTAGGAACATAATTTTTGTCATAAACTGAATTGAAGAATGTCCGCTGACGTCTGGAAATTGATAGGATGATGATTTGTCGTGATCTATTCGTGAATACGGACGATGATTTGAATCATTCAAATCTCTTTCTCTTAGACCGCGGATGCACAACCTACGTCCACGGCTACCTGATACGGTGCCTCTTACGCCTAAACGTATCACATGATTTGCAGTAATGTAAGTTTTAACGTAATTTTGGCCGATATAAGATAGCTGTAAAATATAGCGCGCTTCGGTTCTTATTAGTCGCTTTGTTCTTTGAAACAACAACTTCAACAAATGGCCGTCTTTAATAAACTGTATATTTGTAAGCCATAGAAAGAACATTTTCAGGCTTAGATCAAATCTTCGATTCACATTCTATTGTTTTTCCAGGTTTACCTATCACCGCTTCATATTTTTACTCCACTGCAAATGCACAGCCCCTAAGCACTGCGTACTTCCTCTATTGCGAATCCTCCCAAAGTACGTCAGAAGAATTCAGAGAACATAAACAACAAACAAAGAACGTCGTTGATGACTTCAAGAAGTACCTACGCCAAACAAGCACCTTCAAGACAGCGAGAACGATCAAGCGATGAGCGGCGGACCTGTACAAGCTTAATCCTAGATCTAATCTACGCAATTTGTTGTTCACAACTATTGGATCTATTCAATTAGACTTATCAAAAATGTTATTACTTTATGAAGTTGCTTCGAAGAACTAGAAGAGTAGAAATCAAACCAGATCTCCTGATTCTTCAGAAGATGCTTTCTGCCTTAAGAAAACTATTTTCCAACAGTCATCCATAAAAGCAACATTATCCTTAGCGCCAGACAAAACTGACTTCTAGATAAATATAAAATAAACTACTAAATATTTTAGGAAACAAAGAAGCAGCTAAGAAACGATAAAACTTGCGATAAAGTTGTGACGTGTTTGAGGAGAATTACTGCCCTCCATGAAATGTAGAAATACAAAGTAACTGGATGCAAGGTGTCTCCCAGACACTTCTTGTCACAACCACTGTTCGGTAAACAAAATTAATCAACAGAAAGGGAGTTAAATGAACATCAGGATGCTGGCGATGACTGCTGTCGTCTAGTTACAAAAACATCGTTGTAGTAATGAGTTATTTATTGTATCAAACTCGTGCCAATTACCGAATCTTAATAGCTTATCAAATTCAACCTCTAACAACATGAAATTGATACTGTTTTCCTTTAATATCACCAATTTGTGATAACTTGTGATCAAAGAAATCAATTAAGCATGGTCCAAACATTGCATAAGAGCAACAAAACAGCAACTATATTTAAATCGCCGTATTCAAGACCACAAAAAACATAATAAAACATGTTAAATGGGCGCGTATGTAAGTCTGACATTATCTGAACCAACGTAAGGAAAATTTGAAAGCAACGTAAAAACGGACGTGTTGAAAATTGCTGCAAATTCCGAGGCTACCTCGACCTAAGCACCCATATAGTGTCACGGCTACAGTACAATATAACCTATGAATCATTAATATTACGGTCGTTCACGATCAATGCGTATTACTTTATCTTACAGGAAGTACGTTTGCATACTGAAAAGCAATTACAACAATGGTAGGCAGCAATAATGATACAATAAAATATGTACCTAAATAAATAATTTTCAGGTTTCTGATTCTTGGCCCATAGTTATATACATGGCTGTTTGAATGATTCATAGTTCGGGGCACCAAATGCAGTTGATGGTAAAGCCGTTCAATGTTCAGCGTGTTTTACTGAACAGACCGCAGCATCATCAGGGCTGCACTGATTACAATTGATTGCTTAAAAGCATTTATGTGTTTAACAAGCGAATAATGGCAAATTTTCAACTGGCTTATCACATACAGTCAAGGCTTGCTACACTGACTGAATAAAATATAAAGTCACATCAAAAAAGGTATAATCTTTATCATTTTGACCCAATTTTTCTATTAATTTTATGACAGTACACCCGGCTTTCACCGATAATAGCAAAAGATTGTGTTAGCATGTTCTTCACTACGTTCCTTAGTAATCTAGGAGGGATACATGACGCCGGGTTTAGGCATCGTTTGGAGTGTGTTGTTTTCCGATATATGGAAACCTCAATTTCAATCGATTGTGTCCACTTCACTAGCACATTCAATGGAATATTCTGTGAATTACATGAATGGGCAAGATAAAAATAGCGGAATATGCTTTACTATGGAAGGGAAAGTTAATCCCCCTACAGCTTTTCTGGACGTGCTGGTGAAAAGGAAACCAACACATTCCAACCCATATCTACACCCGGAGTCATGTAGTCCTCCTGGATTATTTAGTAACATGGTGAAGAACATTGAAATGCACATTTTTTGTTGCTATCAGTGAAAGCCGGGGCGCAATGACAGAATTGATACACAAAATCAGGGTAAATGACAAAAATCCGATTTATTTTGATGTGACGTTATACTTTGCTCAGTCAGTGTAACAAGTTTT